TGAGGCTAGGACACACGTATCTTACACACTCGCATATATACGACCGTGTACCACCTCCAATATGTCACTATTGCCCCACACATCCAAGATACACAATACAACACTTCATACTCCACTGCCCACGCCTACAGCACCACAGAAGACACATTATAAGACACATTACCACACATGGCCTCAGTCTGGATTTGCCAACTATCCTTGGCGACCATCATCCAGAGCTTCATGATTTGCTTTTTATCTTTCTCCAGGAGGCACGTCTTATTAACAGCATATAGAAACCACCTCACTGAGACAAAAGGAACCCCGAGCACGGGCATGAGTGGGCGCCGTGGGGACGATAGTAACGCGGCGCCCAGTTCCTTACTCGTACAACCTAAATCCCGGTCGTTTATTTACATTCTCCTTTTGATTGCATCGTGTGCTCGCGCTCTAGCCATTGATGTTTCTTGCACTGTGTAACTGGCATGTGTAACTGGCGGCCCCCTATTGCGCTCTCCGACCCGCTAAGGCGGAGTCGTTGAGAGCCAACGCCGACTGGCAGCCAAGGTGTATACGCCTGTGGTCGCCGGGCGCCCCTCCCCAGCACGGGGCCGTCATTATCCCTTCCCTTTTACCTCCTACACATTAGATTAAACAACTGTAGGGGTTTTTTCCCCGCGCTCTTTGGCTTCAGCGCGGGGTTTTCCCCTTTGCAATAGGCGTCAGGTTTTTTGTTATTTAGGACTTTTTCCCTGACCAATACACCCCACACCAGTACACTGACACCTTACACAAGTGTATGAATATGTGATGTAAATAAATGTTACCGTTTCTTCATCTGTGTTTTGTTCCGGCTTTTTCGGCACTTCGGCAAAAGTAAGTTCCCCCATTAGATTTGCTCACACACACTAAGGATAGGCTCCCACGTTGCTATTGCTTCCGGGTTCACATAAACCGGCTTAACGTAAAACTTTGTTCCTGGCCAAAATTGCCAGATGTAATGACCCCCGGCTCCAGACTGGCTTAAGGCTGACGGAGCAAAAAAAAAAAACACTTACAGGAAGGTGAGCCTGCGCCACTGGGCGCTCCCAAACAGACGGGTCTGGAACATTGCAGTATCCAAGGTGTGATGGCATGGGGATCAGACGGACCACCAGGTGACTTGTATGTTGGATTAACTTTTTGCCAGGTATGTACGCGATAATTGCTTGATAGGTTATAATGGGTGAGCAATGCATTTATGGGTAGAATCACAAGACAAACAGCATTCGCCTTCCCTGAATAGTGGCACGTAGCTATATGAATAGTGCTGTACCGTGCTGAGGCACCCTATATCTAACATATTTGGGCATACATTTGCAAATTTCATTGTGTTTTCAATGCAATTTTGAAACAGCCAGCGTTTCGCAGAAATGCCAAGCAGCAAGTAGGTACAGAGGACATTCCTAAAATAGCACGGACAAGTTGGATATGAGACACCATATGCACTCAACTGCAACACTTTAAGTCAAGTGCTCGACTTGATTCGTCTGCAAGCAGCAAGCACGATATGGATTAGCAATAGCCTACGAAAAAAAAAAACGATCAGACATATAGAATCATTAGAGGAATCAACCGGGCATACGATCGGTATTTCACCATGGACCTGCGGCAGCGGCCCGGCGGTCCCAGCCGATCGGTTATCGGCGTCATTGCGGCCATTCAACTGCCCGTCCAGCCGAGCACGGCCGGCGTGGCTACGGCCGCGGGCGTGCCGCGTCGCCCCGCGCGCGGCGTAGGCGCCCGGCGGCCCAACGGCCGTCGGTCACGCACGCCCGGAATGCCCGGGGGCGGCGGTCTCGGCCGACCGGCGCCGGCCTGTCGGCCGCCGTCGCGGTCGACGCGGCTCACGGCAACGTCCAGCGGAGCTGTTTTTTTTTCTCAAGCAAACCCCGACTGATAGAGGATGCGGCATGTGAGGTATCGGAGATTTAGTGGAGACTCAAAGTTTTTTTTCTTGAACCATAATCCAACAACTGCGTCTTAGAGGATTGCATTGTCATGCCAAAACAATGTGCAGTATATCATGTACATGCCGCATCTTTGGTAACAGTACATCGCGGCAGGTAAATTAAATGTGAAAATGTTGGATCTCGGTTTCGTAACAAAGTTCTAAAATCTTTCGCAAGCTAGAAACTTCGAAAAGGTCACCTGAAGTTCAGAAATGTCAGCCGGGTCCGGCGTTAATCAGCCACGTAGGTCATGTCTACCTGTCCGTTTCCTCATCCGGAGGAATGCAGGTCTGACGTGGATGTGGAGTTGGGACCGATGTCCGACACAACGGAACCCCAAGCGCACTCCATGCAGTATGCACACCAGTGCATGTATGTACTCGTATACAGTTGGGAATGAGGATGCAGGAAAGTTAAGAGATAATCAATATGCCGGCGGTGTGAGCAGGCTTCTAGCTCCAAAGAAGAAACGCTCTGACTCCTGCTGTCTTGATAAGTGACAAAATTCACAGCGACACTGGAGTGCTGGATTACGGAAAGCACTGGTGTATCCAGGGCAGACTGGTGTTTGATTCATCTGTGATTGAATCGATTGGATTGAATCAAACAAAATTTGTTGAATCAAAAAGGTTTGATTCACCGTCAGGATTGTTTGATTCACAAGCCATGATTGAATCAAACGCATTGGGAATCAGGGCTGATTGAATCAAAAAAATTAATGATTCATGAACTTAAAAAAAAAGTTGAAGTGAACGAAATCAACAAATATTAACACTACTGCCATTACATGACAATAAAAAAGAACACAACAAATACAATACTATCCCTGATATTTTGTATATTTTATTTTTTAATTGAATCAAAAAAGAATCATTCAAAAAAAATTGGCTGAATCAAACGTGAATCGTTCCTTTTATTGTTTTTTTTTTTGATTCTCTGAATCAAAAGGAATCGATTCACCAAATTTTTTGAAGGAATCAAACGGTGATTGAATCAAACAAAAATCAAATGAATCAATGATTGAATCGATCCAAAAAAGGTGAATCAAAAATCAGTCTGATCCAGGGAACACTTAACAGTTTTTATTTAAAACAACGAAACTTGCATATGTGCACAGGTATGAATAACGAAACTTGCATATGTGCACAGGTATGAATGAGGGAGCAGACTCCGACGACTTCGTGAAAAAACTGTTTTGGAAAGTTCGGCTCCACTGCAGCGTTCAAAAAAAAAGTTTTCTGAACCTCTCCCTATCTTAGAATAAATGCATAGGCTTAAACAGCAGGCACACAAATGAATGTTGTTTATGAGGCCTTGCGCGGCTGATCGAAGCGTCCTTGCGTACATTTGGTGGATTGATAGCTTCTGTCAGACGCAAATTGAAAGCACAGCTCACTCCGTTTGATTCACTTGAAGAATCCATCGAGCCCGGTCATTATGGGCCTGTCCGGTATAAATGACATATCGACCAGACCTAGCCCAGGTGCTGTGCGCTCCGCTCACCGACAAACGTTCGATCGGGGAGCGCGACCGCTCCCGGCTCACCCAGCCGATAAGCCCTCATCCGCACACAAGCCGCCGGCGAGCGGCCCTGCAGCCTGACATTTGTCTGGGTTTCACTCAGTGCAGCTTAGCATTTTACGTCAGCACGGTGGACCGTGTTTCCAATCGATTTACTTGGCATTGTGACGCGTTTCACGGCAGAGCGGTCCAGCGAACCCTTGCATAACCGGCATACTAGCGCTTGTCATTCAATTTTCCACGACGGAACGTTTATATGAAAACTGGTCCATATGCGTCCTTACCGACGAGGTCCATGTTACGCTTACAGCATTACCAGCTTGAGCAGAATTTTAAGATTGAACACAGTGGAAGTGGTTGTGGCGTCAACGAAAGATCGTTAAACAATTGAAATGCAAGTTGAAGGGGGCAGGGATACATGCTCGAGACGCCACCCAGCCCCTTGGATTCGCCAGTCTCCGTCTCATGTAAGCATCTGAATTGTGTCTAGTCCTTGGTAGCAAATAACGCCACAGAGGCGCGCTTCGAGCTGAAAACACCAACTAAATCATTTCAGTCTCGAAACACATACGCGCTGTAATTTTCTCCCGGAAACACTATTCTCGAGCGCGGCCGCTACAATTATGTATGCTAAGCCTCTCGCACGGCTGACTTTCAACAGGCTGTATCAGCTGTTTAGCGCGACAATCCGCTAACTGGCTAGCAGACACTGAAAGAGCCGGCTGAGACGCCACTGGCTGTGACCCGGCCGTGCGGTCCGCTGGTCACCGAGCACGCCGGGGGTTCCCCGTACTGTCAGCGACCCAGGTCACCGGCGGGCGCCGCGTGCATCTTCCCGTAGGAATCGCAGTTTTCAGCAGAAAAGCCAGCCTTCTAGCAGCAAACACTCTCGTCTCTCAGTGACAAAAGCAATGACGTAGCCTTGTCTGGTGAGTACTCACACCAGAGCGGAGCGGGGAGAGGCGGCGGTGGCCCGGCGTGGCGGCCGGTGCCTCCCCCGCCGCACAGACGCGCCTGATAATCGATGGGTGCCGGTATCGGCCGGTCGGCCGGCCGCTCGCTCGTCCCTGCGGGAGCAGCGCTCCGGCGCGGACCGGGGCCGCCTAAACCCCGGCTACGGCCACTAATGCGGCGCGGAAATGGGCGGCTACGGCGGCACGGCCGGCCGCTCTCGGCGCGGCGTGCCTACGGCCGGCGGTCGGCGGCGCAGGATGTGGTCGGCGGACGTGAGCCGGCCGCTGCGCTCGGCTGGTCATGGACTGGTGGGTGACTCAGAGTTCGGCGCGACAGGTGCACAATGCGGCCGGTCCACCGCAGGCTTCACCGTCCTCGAGCATCGTCGTTAGCTCCGTGTTAAGGCTTTTCTTCCATCAGCCGAACTGACAGCCCTCTTCGCAAAAGATTCTTGCCATTGGATTGACACATACCTGAGCCTTTCTGTTCTATTAAAGTGTGCACGGTGTCCTGAGCGCAATGGACAGACAGCCCGTAACGAACAATCGAACTCACCGGTGCCGGCGTTTTCGTAGACGTTGGCCTGGTAGCGCTGGTCGGAGAACTGGGGAGGCTGGTTGCCGGCCACAACCACCGTGGCAGAGGCTACACGATGGGAGTGGTCTGAAACGCGGAGGGAATTCAGGTCAGACACCGTGGCAGAGACTACAGGATGGGAGCAATCTGAAACGCGGGCAGCAGCTTGGGCTCGATGCCTTAGTATAGAACCTGAAACTAAAGCTGCCGGCTTTCAAATTATGCAGCAAGTCCAAAACCACCCACTGCTACCACATGTTCTGTTAATATATCCAGGCAGAAAAAGTAAATGTAAATAAAAAATACGGCAAAATGAGAGTATGTCAGCGACAGACAAATTTCGGAACACTCAACGTTTTTACCTTTTCAAAACAAAGCGAACATATTGCGTTGCGGAAATATTGCTTTGTTTTCTGCACTTTGAGTGCACTTCATTTTAATGTCATTGTAAGAATCTGCTTTGATCGTCTACTCAGGCCGGCGGCGCCCGCTCCGCATAGGGGCGCCGCATTAAAAATGTTTTCGCTTTTCAGTCCGTCGCGGGCCGACGGCCGAAGGGCGGATGGTGAGGAGGCGCTGGCAGTTTCATTTTCAGTCGGGTTAAAGTGAAGCAGCTGAGGACCAGCAGCGGTGGACGGGGGGAAATATGACTAAAGTCAGTGGCTCACTTGCTACAGGGAACGTATAATGAATCGGTAGCGGAGCAGGCATGTGGCCCAAGTGACCAGAAGTTGAGAAGAAAAGCACCCGAAATGTAATAAGGATGTTATTTTGGTCATTATTAGAGTTGCCGGGTATTCATTCGCCACATGGATGGATTGGTGATGTATAACTGTTGTAACTGTGCGCTCATTCTCCCTCGATGGAATCGAAAGTGACCGTTGCGATTTTGCAAGATACATCAAGCCTTAGCTAATCCAGCGCTGCAATGTATACTGCAGTTCTCTTCTTTCAAAGAGACCCAAAGTTCGATCGTACTTAGTGAGAATACGTCAAAGTTCGCGTATTTACCAGCAGTAATAGGCAATTCAATATCATTTTCTTGTCGCTGAACGCCGTTATCATACTATACAAATTCATTTGAGAGTTCAGTGAAGACAACAATACAGCTGAAACGGCAATCTTTTCGCAAAAAATCGACATCAATCTCCGTGCGATTGTGTATGGAAGGAGAAAGCCTTTACGCGCCGTCGCGCCATATAAGCTATCCGGTACAGCATAACTTCAGGCGTTTACCACTAGCGCCATCTTTTGGCAGGCGCACAAGATGCGCACGCTAGGCGAGCTGTGATATGGGTTACACGTTGTTGGCGTTTTTTTATTGATTTATTAAAACAATTCACCTGAGCTCTTTACAACCACTGAGCCACTTCACCTCATCACGAACCACTGCTGATTGTGAAATAATTTGGGTTCAACTCATCGCTATTACCAAGCGTGTCTTGTTGGTGTATCGTTCGACCCTCGATGTTGGTCAGTGTTCTTCAGTCCACGTAATCCCGTGGAAATACCCCTGGGCAGCCTAGTCGTTCCTTCTTAGCGTATCAGACGAAACCAGACGGTATGGGACGAAACCAGGGTGGAAGTGTTCCGGTCGACGCCGGTCTAATTAGAAATCACAAGTTTAAAGTTGTTCCAGAGGAATTTCCCCTGCGGAAGTCGCCAGCTTCAGTTCCCGGCATAATTAGACGGCGTGTCCTGAATTAATTGCTCGGTATCGGTATGGCGCCATATTCATTCAGCTTTTCAGCTTATGGCTATTCCGGTATCTAAATTATTTGAATTTTGTAAAACCTGAACTATAAGCCCAGCCGTTCTCGGCTGCGATAAGCCTGAACTAAAACTGAAGGTAAGCATCCCTTATTTCATAATTCTAAAGACGCGTTGAAATTTCACATAATATACATAAATGTAGCATGTCCCCCTACGATTTCTGATCTATGCTTATATTCTTTGGAGATTATCCGGTGGTTTACCTACTTCGCAACTAGCGCTCTCTCCTAGCCTCATCCATCCACTACTCTCGGCGGGCACCGAGGACAACTCACCAGGGTTGACGGCGAACACGGTGAAGTTGAGCCCGCCGCTGGCCACCAGCCGGTGGCCGTTGGCGTTGCTGAAGATGTTGCCGTTGCTGTCGATACGGAACAGGCGCGGGTTGTCCAGACTGAAGCGGACGTTGTTCGCGCCGGGTGCTGCCACCTGTGGACAGATGCGGGAGTTAGTGCGGAGCCGGTCGAAGAGGCGGGGTCCAATCGCCCATATAGGATGGCATCGTTCGAGTGACTCACGCATTCAATGTGCAGCCACGCCCCTGGTTCATTATTAGTTGCGCTATGGCACGTCAACTGAAGTGACGATGCTTCCTTATGACGAATAGCTAGGTGGCCATGAATCATATAGAGTTAAGGTCGTGCTTTGGGAGCGGAGCCGTTTCTTATTTACGCTGGGTTCTTCAAGGAGATGTTGACGTTTTATACAAATTAACCTCACAGCTGTCAAGCAGTACCTGCTAAACAACAAGAAACAAATCTGAGCATCGAAATTCGAAAGCATCTATCGGCCTGAACAGTCAGGTGATACCGTTCCGCAATACAGGCAGACAACGCAGCACCTTCCAGAAGTGGGCTTTCACTTGCACTGAGAACCAAACAACCAAACAACCGAGAATAGCCTGGGTGTGCGCATCGCGCCGCCAGAAGTTCCAGCAGACAACAGCAAGGTCACCGGCACACAATACCAGCCGGTGACATAACCCACATGAAAGCATGGACAATGCCGCCGGCCGGCGAGTGAATGGAGACAGTGCTGAGAACGTGGCAGCGTTTTTTTCGTCCCGGTCTGAGCAGAATGCCTTTCCCTGGCGGGCAGAGTGACAATGACATTCTGCCGGACGGCAGGCCCGGACGAACGGCACCCGCTACGACACTGCACGGTGGCGACGACAGCCGTCTGCCGCCTGTCTCAGAGCATCTGATCAGCGGGAGTTATCGATTCAATCGACGCTCGTTCGCTGCTGTTCCGGCGGGGTCGTCTGAGTGGATATCGGCTGAGACCGCAGCTGCAGCACCAACTGTGATTCAGACAAACAGCAACCCCGGGCCCCGGCGTCGCGTCGACCCGCCCCGCCTCCGTCGGACAATGGCTGACCCTGCACGCCTCCTGTTGCACGTGCAACAAGGGGCGGGTGAGGGTGGTGTGAGGGGAAGGCACATCCGGCGCCGGCAGCGGCCTGCAGGCGCACGGAGTGGTGGACAGGCACGTTCCCTGGCCGGGTTTACTGCACCCAGCTCACTTCCCCGTCAGTGAGTTATATTCACTCGCCTCGGCGAGCTCCGGGCGCAGTCAGGGACAGCCATCAGTACAGTCGTTTATCTGAGTCCAGCACGTCGCCGCTCGACGCCGACGGCTCGTCCCAGTGGAATGTCGCCGCTCGCACGGCAGCCGGCCGGGGCTGAGACGATGCAGACAAGGGAGCCGACCCGCTCCCGACAGACGCACCACGTCCTGGTCATACCGGGCGTGTTGATTGCGCACGCGCGGCGGCAGAGCGGCGGTAAATCGCGTGCCTCAGATGCTCCCCGGCGGCTGCACAATGTGCCTGTCAGAGTCGGCGAGCACCGAGCACCTCTGCAGCAGAGCTCCGGCCAGGAAATTGGACAGAAGCTGTACGGCCTCGGTCAGGTGGTGTCGCGATCGAAGCCAGCAAACTCCGGTCGGAAACTGATCGCCTTTCGGCAGCACCAGGCCATGGCCGCCACACGGGTACGGTGAATACCTGATACCACCCGGCCACACCGCGCTGTCACCAATGGGGCTGGTTTACAGCACGGCGACATTGGCGAGTGGGGGCTCAGAGTGAAACCGACATCATGACGAGGTCACGACAGAGAAACCCGTCCGTGAATAGACAATCTGCTTAAGCTGCCAGCCGAGCCGTGCAGGGTCGAGGACCGTCTGCGCTCGCAGGAAGCCCCGTTCTGGCGACGTCCGGCCGGGCTGCAGGGCCGTTGCGGGACACGCACCGGCGCGGCCACGGCTCGGACGGAGGGTCGGAGTGGCGGACAAAGGCGCCTTCAGACCGCGCCGTCCGCGTTTCCAGTCGGTCCGACGGCGCCTCAGACCGACTCGCCGCGCGTCACGCGTCGTGACGTCGTAACGGTGGCGCGCGCAGCCCGTGACGCCGCCTCCGCCGCTGCCGTGACGGCTCCGTGAGTTCGGCGTCGGGACTGTCCGACAGCATGGCATGGCGTGAGGGCGGTGTTACTGCAGGGAGGAGAAACAGACGTGCGCGGGTGAAGCTGTCGCACGACCGGGGAGGGGAGGGAGCCGCCAGCCGCCGCAGCGGTATCGATGCCGCAGCGCACCCCTGTCGGCCGCGCCGGCCCCTGCCCGACCCGCGCGCCGGCCGGCACAAGGTAATCTACACCGAAGCCAAGCATGTGTGGCCACGTGCGCGCTACGCCGACCACGCGCACCGTGCGGCCGCCGTGCCAGGGCCATTTTTCACGTGCCTCCGCCCGCGGCAAAAACGGCAGTCGCACACGCGGCGGGACACTGGCTCCACCGGAACCCTCAGCTCGCGGGGACAATGGAGCCGGCGGGGACCGACCGGCGGCCGGCGTCCAGGTACGCACCCACCCCCGCCACCGCCCCCGCCGGCGGCGTCACACAGGGCTTCACACGCAGCCGTGCTGAATGCACCGCGCACGCAGCGAGGGTTGGCGCGGTCGATTCTCGATATTTTGGTCGTGCAGCCCTCTCTCCCCAATCGACCAGTGATGACTAGTCGCAGTCAGAAGGGTAGACAAAGGCTAATGCAGTTACGCATGTTCGGGTCCCGCACTCGACTCATTCACTCAACATCGCTCGCCTAACTCCGAAACATAACGGGGTCTACGCAACAAGCTTTGCGTAGCGTGGGCTCCGGCTGTGTCAATCCGTCCATTCAAATATTAGAGCTCAATTATAAAAAGAAAAAAACAAGCACACAAAACTCTGGTAAAAGTTCGTTAGAAACGACAAATAAGGACATCCACATTGGTGTATAAAACCGGCCAACTCCAGGTTTTGTGGCTCCGTTAGTTGTGTCTGTTTTCTGTAATCACTCAAAGTTCATGCAGCGTCGAGGCCGCGGCCGTGGTCGATTTTTCGGCCGGCGGGCGCGTCGGTGGTCACGCGCTCATGTCGCGTCATCGCTCGATGGCTGGGCTCGTCGGGCAGAATGTCGCCGCCGAAAGGGGCGGGCACCTGGGCAGTCAAACACGACCGACGACCGTCGGGTTCGACGAACGAGCACGGCGCGCGCGCTGCCAATGCGTTCTGGGGACGGGGGGCGCAGCGCCGGTCAGGACCGGACGGCCCCAGGGAAATGGCCCCCCGACTTAATGGCTGTGGACATCCTCCCAGGCGTGTGATCGTCCGGCGGCCAATGCCGCGCCGTACCGAGAAGTGCTAACGGGTACGGCGCGGCTCGGGCGATCGCCACCCACTCGCCATGGATCGGCGTACAGGCAGTTTATGTCGAACGCATCGATCCACTGCCCCGAACTGCAGAGTGCAGCCCAATTAGACTGACCCGAAATCATTGGAAATCACGGATTTACAACTTAACCTTCGCCCTGGTGGGGGGGGGGCCATTTTGGCCCCCCCCTGTGGTTTTTCAGCGATAACTCAGAAACCACTTGAGTTAGCGCCCTGAAACTTTGTATAGCTGTTTATTCAACATTTTTACATCATGTCCTTTTTTGGGGGGTTCGGGTCAGGTCAGGTCAGGTCACAAGGTCACCAAAACTGACACCACCTCTAAAAAAGTTCAAAGCTCTCTCAAAGGCACAGCTTTTATCCGATCGATGTAAAATTTACAGTACTTGAAGATGTCACCCAGCTCTACAAAATGGCTATCTCGGATTTTTTATAAATGTGACCTAAGGTCAGGTCAGGTCATCGCTGCTCCCCATTATAAGTCAATGGGAGAATCGAAAAGTAGTTGTTTTTCAGCTAAATCGGGCGTGATTGTTCCTATATTTCGTTATTGAAGTGTCTTGGGTCAGCAAATCACAGCCCATGTGAAACCATTTGCTTGTGACCTCGCTGAGGTCACGCTAGGTCATCTCCCTGGTCACCAGAGGTCACCAGCGGTTTTTCTGCACTTACTTGTTATTGAATAGAGATAGAGACTCCGTTCGACGTTTATCGTGTTTGTCTCGTCAATGCGGATCGAATGATATGCAGCATGACCTATTTCGGTAAGGTCATGACCTTGACCTGAGGTCAAATTTTCAAAATGACCTTTCGAGGTCAAACTATATATCATTCGACGCGTCTCGACGAGCCAAGCACGATGGTGCATGAATCGTTTCTCTATTTTCTCGTGAATGCATGCTATAGTTAAAAACATTTTCAACGAAATTTGCCAAGTTGACCTTGCATGACCTCTGTGGGCCAAACCGTTGAGCTGAGGTCAAATCTGACGAACCTTGGCGAAAGAGCTTGAAAAGAGCTATCGATTGCTTTTTTCCGCGGCTCTCTAGCTCTTCTAGTTTCCGAGCTACAGCGGAATATGTCCGGCAACACCGAAAACACTGAAATTTGACCTATGATGACCTCTAGCGACCTCAATATTGACCTTAGCGAAAAAATGACTGAAATACTTTCGAACGTACTTGTTATGGGCTTTCGTTTGCTTTTTTCCGCGTCTTCCTAGCCCTCTTCGTTTTCGAGTTAGACGGGGGGGGTCATTTTGGCCCCCCCCCACCAGGGCGAAGGTGGCTCAGACCCACACCAGGGCGCGGGTTAATAGTAGGCTTCTAAGGTGTAAGCCAGTTCATAAAGTGAGCAAATCACGTGTCGACGAGCATAGCCATCGCTGATATAGGTGTGCATATATCAGCCATAATTGATAAAAACGTCGCTGCGATAGGGTCTGCAGGTCTGCAGCACCGCTCCGGCCCGCTAGGCGAAGCCCCACTGCTCCTCCAAATCCCCGCTGACCCGTTCAGCTCGGCGACCGGGGCAGTGACGGCACTCGACCATTGTGGTCCCCGTGCGGCGATAAAACGCCCCGGGCGTTAATAGCACGGTGCGCCGCCCAGTGGCCTTGGCGCACCTCCCCTCCCCTCCCCACCGGCGGCCACATCGGTGAACAATGCACAGTTTGAATGACGCTACTGGCTGCAATCATGACCGATGTATTTTACCGC